GGTTATGGAGGAAAAATAGAGAGGGTTGTGTTTCTGACACTTGTGAGTTCCTGAACACCGGGGGACCACACTATTCATGTTTAAAAAGACGTACAAAAGTTGCAATTTGGCATGATTAGGTCACCTTTAAGCTTTTAACAGAGCATGTGGTTCCCCTCTGTGATTAAACGTATCTTTTAACCACTTTACCACTACGGCCTTCATTTTCATCTACTATCATTTCGAACTGTGAGCCAAAAGGTGGATATTTAAGTTTCAAAAGATGCTCATCATTCATTATACGACAACTAACAGCAACAGACATCCAGAAACGTAAAATGATATAGGACAAATATGTGAATTTACTAAGTAAGCATCCTCACATTTTTCCTTCATCTCAGGTTGGTATCTACTTCTTTGCGGTACCACCAAGTCTACAAATATGACCTACGCCCAGAAACAAGTTGTCCGGAGTGAGAAAGCAAATCTGGCTTGGATGTGAATACTTTGAAACCATGGAACACGCTGCAAAGGAAATTACTGAAAAAACCTGAGGTAGAAAATAGAGAATAAAAAAAACACTGTTTTGTTCGTATTTGGTCAAAATAAAGAAATAAAAAACCCTTTTGATATAACCTGTGTGTTGTTGCATGATTTCCCACAGTAAAAATTTGCCTCCAGCATCAGGGATGTATTGTTTTTTGTTTCTTTAAATCCTTTTTATCAGAATCTGCACATCACCTTGTGGTGGATACTGGATATTATTAAGTGTAAATTGGTAGCCTCACTAACGCCTTGCAGGTTTTGACTTGGAATGAAGAAGCTACAGAATTTTCCACAAATAACATGTTCGGCTTCTGGTTTAATACGACAAAACACCACTGTGCTCACACGTATTTCCCCATTACAAGGACAGAAGGCCTAGACACATTATGGAGACATTTCATTGGGAGGTTTTTAACCACAAAAACCTCCAGGAAAAACTGGGGGCAGGTAGGACCCAGTTTTCTCTGGAGGTTTTGTGGTTAACTCCCAATTTGGAAAATGGTTCTCCATATGGTCTAGGCTTTCTGTTGTAAGGGGAAATACGTGAGCACAGTGTGTTTTGTCGTATATAAACCAGAAGCCGAACATGTTATTTGTGAATTCTGTAGCTTCTTTTCAGTCAAGTCAAAACCTGCAGGCGTTAGTGATACCTAATTTACACTTATAATATCAGTCTCCACCAAAGTGATGTGCAGATCTGATAAAAAGGATTTAAAGAAACAAACCATACATTCTGATGCTGGAGGCATTTTACTGTGGGATACATGCAAACAACACACAGGTTATATCAGGTTTTTATTTCTTTTATTTTGACCAAATACGACCAAAAACAGTGTTTTTTTTATTCTCTATTTTTCATTTACTCAAGGTTTTTTCAGGTAATTTCCTTGCAGCGTGTTCATGGTTTCAAATTATTTCAACATCCAAGCCAAGAATTTGCTTTCTCAACTCCGACAACTTGTTTCTGGGCGTAGTCATATTTGTAGACTTGTGGTCCGTCAAAGAAGTAGATAAAACCTGAGATGAGGAAAAAAATGTTAGAGGATGCTTACTTAGTAATTCACATATTTGTCCTATATCATTTTACGTTTTCTGGAATGTTGTTGCTGTTAGTTGTCGATAATAATGATGATGAGCATCTTTCTGAACTTAAATATCCACTTTTGCTCACAGTTGAAATGATAGTAGATGAAATGAAGGCCGTGAGTGGTAAAGTGGTTAAATGATACAGTTTAAATCACAGAGGGGAACCACATGCTCTGTAAAAGCTTAAAGGTGACCTATCATGCAAAATGCACTTTTGTACGTCTTTTATACATGAATATGTGTCCCCGGTGTTCCAGGGAACTCACCAAGTGTCAGAAAACACAACCCTCTCTATTTTCCTCCATACCCAAATCTCTAAAAAAGGGGCTGCAACGGATCTGATACAGACTGATCCAGATTTGAACACTTCTATGACGTCACAGAAGTGGTGCTACGGCTATTGGGCCAACTCCACCAATCAGGAGGAGACAGCCACAGACATTGCCGTTGGAAAGCGCTGGAGACGCTGTAGTACATATGCCAAGCCTGTAGGTATGGTGCTGTTCTCACAGAATCAGCCCATGCAAAGACAGTGTTAAATTGAGCGAAATGAGGAATGGCTAAAATGCATGATCTGTTTGGTATTTTGAAAAATAAAAAGTATAAATATGCCTTATATAGGTATGGTCCTACACTATATTATTCAAATATAGCATGATAGGTCCACTTTAACTACACTCAGCTGATGTTGCATGTTAATTAGCATCCCTGCGCTGCCAAAAACATTACACCATGCAAAAGTCCCCTCAGGCTACAGACAGAAATACACTAACTCTAGACAAGTTTACTCCACTTTCCAATCAGAACATCACCCAGTTTACCTTCTGGTCATACAACATTTCCATCATATGATACAATGTATAATGGCTCACCCTCTTTGTAGACAGCTGCGTTTATTGTTGTGTTGACTCCAGGAAAGTCCTCGCTGATGTACTTTGGGTAACCAAAATCCATAACCCTTCGGTTTTCATTGTAACTGAAAAAGACACGATATAAACAACGTTCCTCAGAAGTCATGACTCATGATCATCTATTCCTCTTTCAAAGCTGAGAAAAAACATTTGTTCATGACTCCAAAATGAGCCGTTAGTTCTCTGTGTGAGGCAAACTAGATCTTAAAGTCAGATCTGAGTCTGTGTCACTCGTTAGACGCTTTTATCCAAAGCAACTTACATACACTAAATACTGTGGACAATCCCCACAGGAGCAATTTGGGGTGAAGTGTCTTGCCCACCAACCCAGTGAGCCACAGCCTCCCTACATGCATGTTGTTATGTTGTTTTAGCCAATGTATGATATAAGATTTCCTCTCCTTATGATGGGAAATAATATATATCCGACAGTGCAAAACGTGAGCATTCCCATACTTGCATTGAAGAGATTTTACTGTTTGCTAAGTAAAATGCTCTTAATTGCATGCAAATTAAAGTAGTGGTAGAAATGGTCCTTCAAGTGAACAAAACACATTGGTTCCAACTTGAGTCACAAGCACTGGTAAACTCATGGTGACCATGTGTTTGTAAACAAGTGGAGCAACCATGTCCTTTTGGTTGACCTTTAAAATAAAACAGGAAACACAACAACAGAACATGAGATAAGGATAGTTTACCCAAACTCTTTGGTTGCCTTACCTCCAATAAATATCATGCATAAAGAAAAGGGTGCGTCCAGTTTTCACTATGTGGACTGCTGCGTCAACGTCCTGGACCCAGGCTGGAAACCCAAAGTGGCTTAGTTCCCGAGGCTTTCCCCTCACAAGAGAGCCTTTCACTGTCCAGAACATGGACTCTGTTCCAAACAAAGCAAGACAAAGATGTTTTATTTGGATTAATGAAAGGTGAAATTGTTAAGCTCTATGCACTGAATTATTCAAGTTGGTTACCATGAATAAGGTAAGCAGCGGATCTGCGAGGCACCCAGAAGGCTGCATCGATGCTGGTTTCAATCTTTGGCATAAAGTTGGTGATGAGACCTTCTTTGATGTCATCATGCCCATTGTGTTTAATCCAGAGGTATCTTGTGGGAAAACATTTTTTAAAAACATCACAAAAAAGAAGACACAATTCAGTATTTGGTTGTAAATAAACACTATGAGATTCAGAGACGGACATTTATGCTTTTAATGAAGAGGATATATACTGTGGATACTTGTAAATACAAGATGAGAGAGAACAATCAACATACAGTACCTATCTCTAAAAAATAAGGTGGCATCCCCAACAGTGGACACCGCGTCAAATGTCGTGTCTGAAGCACATTTGTTCTGAATGAGTTGAGGGAGCAGCGACCCCGACAGCCAGGGGTTATTCTGAGAACTCCAACCCAACCTCGAAAAGTAATTTGGGTTCCCTCTGACTGGACCTAACACATATCAGATTCCACTTGATTAAACAACACTCTGGCTTCACAACCTGACTTAGTATGATACGTTTTACAGACATATAAATTGTTTACTGTAAAGTGCGTTGATATTTACTACATCGTCTATGGATAAAAGGTTGGCTGAACGTGAGGATCTGTAGGTTGGGTACATCAATGAATCAGGATTTCTGGAGTGCTTCAGGCCCAAAGCATGGCCAAATTCATGAGCTGCTACCACCAACAGATTAATACCTGCAACAACACAACACAAAAGGCTATTAACTTATTTCAATCTTTAAGTATCATAGTGGAGTACCAGTGTGATTGAGCTCAGTACCTGTCTCTCCTGCTGTCCAATACTCAGCATCATCAAAGTGTGTGTCCCCTCCAACGCCAGGCCCTGGCCCGAAAGCATGAGCCAGTGTGCCTCTGGGTCCGTCAAATGGATAAAAATCACCATGTTCTTCATGAGATGTTCAAGTCCAGACATGAAATAAAAACCCACAGAGAACACATTGAGAAAAGAAAATTACAGGCCTCTGTTTACATCGTCTAAATGAGTCTCGAGTTCAGCAGACATGTGTCGGATGACGCTGTCTTAGTTAGAAGTTAAACTGCAGAAGCACAGTCTTGTTCAAATCCATGAGATTGTCTTTTACACGCTGAAAACTGCCCAATGCCATTCTGTGACTCAAGTTGTTAAATGCACTTTAATCGATACCTGTCCTGTGTGAAGCAGAAAGCAAACCCACCATAGGTCACAAACTCCACCATGATGTCAGCGTTGCGGGTATGCGACTTGACAAACGTCAGACTGCTGGCTCTGGCCCAAACGCTGAAAGCTGACTCAACCAGAGAGTCCACAGTTTTGCGATGCAAATCTCTGGTGTACCTGCCAATTCTGCAACAGCAACAAGTCATCTCATTTTTTTATGAACATAACGATCTGTGTCTCCATAAATCAATCTAACAAATCAGATGATATCACAACCTTACAACACATTTTAATACTTTTTTGAGCCACAAAAGTTTCACAAAATCTTTACGTGCTATATATCCTGTTTTAGTTTATTTTTCAAAATGCATCTATTGTGTTTATATTCCAACAGGCGTGTCTCAAAAAATGAACAGGCACATTCCAGACAGTGTCATATAAGTGCAAGCATGTCTGGTGTCCTTGGCATTGTAACAAGCCCATAATAACTCTCAGTAGAAGAAATCCAAAACCATAAAATCTTTAAACCACAAACATTTGTGACAACTGTGATTCCCTATTTCTGCCAAAGGTTTGTATTGCCTGTTGCCTCTAAACGTTTCTCACGTATTGGCAGGATTTGCACTCCAGACTGTTATATATTTGGCCAGTTCAGTCCAGGTCTAACATGCCTTCATATTTCATTAACAGAGATATATTTCAGACTGGAATTCAACTCAAGTAAACGGGTTGATAGCATCTTGATTGTTAACAATCATTCAAATCTGCACAGATACCTGTAGGTGAGGATGTTCTTGTTCCATCGTGTTCCCTGGAGGTGGCTGTACTCCTCCACATCTGGAACCCCACATCGAGGGCTCCTCATTATCTCTAGGGTGTTTGAGTCCAGCACGCCTGTTGCATTTAGCCCAAAGAATATCTGCATGTCTTTCACCTTGGAGGTGAAGAAGGGCCGGCTCCGCTTCGTGCGCCCCATAGGCTCTTCTTGCAGATTGTAGTAGTGCTCGAGGTATTCCTAACAGTATCAGAACATTTGAAATCACAAATCCTGCACATTTAAATGAATGCCAAAGTATATGTTTGTATTCCCTTGGTTGATTATTTACTTGCAGCATGCATAACAGAGGATTAAACCTTATTGTCATACTTTGCATCCATCCAATTGACATTAGGTTCATTTATAACTTTTACATAAACTTTTAAATCTGCACCCTTTGGTGATCAGATTTACAGCAACATAGTTGATTTCATCTGTCTCATAACAATGTATATCCTCTGCCATAATAAACTGAATAACTTGTTTGCAAGCAATATTGGAAATTGAATCACATGCCGATGGTTTTTCCGTACGATTCCCTCTACAGAGATAATTAGGGGAAATAAAAATGCTGAAACAATGTGCTAAAACATGCAATTTAACAGCGCCAAGAACTCAGAGGGAAAGGCAGTTACTTACCTCTGCCCCACACCCACACAAAAATTAAATAAATATAACCACTATCTCAGCACCCCACACACAGACGAGTACGAATTGTTGCAATGTTCTTCCTTCAATAGAAATGCCTTTAAATTGCCATTGTAAAAGAGATCAAGTCACATACAGTCCATTCTCAAACATCTGTAATGCAATGATGCACTTACTGTGGCCAGCTTCAAGTCAACCTGTGGTTCTGCAGAAGGAGAGCTCTCTTGCCTCGGCATAAATGTGGGTGCCGTAAAACAAGAACCTGGCATGAGTAGGACCAAGACAAAACAAGAAAGCAACATGACATGCAATTCACAGACTTAAACCTACTTGAATTGTATGTGGTCCAGTTTAAACACATGGAGATGGAAGTTCTGGTTAATGAGAAGCCTTTTAAATGGTCAGTGTGACTCATACCACTTGCAAATCCAAGGGAAGCCTCATACAGTACCATGGAATTAGGGAGGGGTTTTCAGGCAGCCAAGGACAGCAAAATGAGAAAAGAAAGAAATGACGTGAACAATTTTGGTCATGTGACATGTTTGCACCAATAATGATCTGAACAGGTAAGGTATTCAGTATGTGGTTTCAAATTAAACCCAATTAAAGATTGAAATTGTTCTGAGAATCATAAAAGTGATGATAATAACGCAACATTTACAACAGGAGTTTTCGAGTGCAATGTGCTGACTCACACATAAACCCAAACAAGCGGTGAAACTAAAACATGAGGCAAGAAAATCCCTCTTTCTGCAATATGTGCTGTAACTTTGAGTATGTTCGACACAAACATGTTGATATTTCCACCTTACAAAACAAGCGGCTCAGATATTAAGTAAATGATTTCCTCAGCAGAGTTACCGTAGGGGAACCTCAACTAAACTCCCTCCAGACTGACTCAACACAATCAGCTGGGTAGCACAGCTCAGTCCCACGCAATCTGCAAGGGCTACCGAAATAACCCCATCAAAGCCTATTCTTGTCCCGTTTTAGCAGGAAAATCCATGTCAGGCCTTTCAATGAGGGAGTTCGGTGAGAGGGGAGCTGAAATTGCAGGGGTGGATTTAAGGCATTTCAAAAAAGAAAATGGCCGCCAGCCAGGCCGCACAGACTGGCAAGGGTGGAGCTGCGGTACATTCAGGCTACAATTACAGTTGATTGGTCATTGGGGAGCTTTATGGAACCAACAGCATTCCTCGGCAGAACAAGTTTTCCAGAGTGCTTTTTCATCGAAAGACTTGAAAAATTTCTGCCGCTTTGGTTTTATGGTCAGAGTACATACGAGGTAATGAAGTTTTTAAGCCAGGATTGATTGCTGAGACATAATGGAACTGCAAGGTTACAAGCTGCGAGACCACTGGTGTAATTAAACCTGTAGGAACATTTCTGTTTTGCCTTAAACATACATTTTACACTGACTTGTACATATCCCATATCCCATATTCTATTAACATGTATATATATAGACTTTTTGCGCTACTTTTTATTTTTTATTTTGTAATTTTATATTTAATTATATATGTTGCATTGTTGGAGGAGCTCAGGTCAGAAGAATTTCATTGCCATGTCTACTGTAGCTTTGTGCATATGACAATACAACCTTTGAACTTTGACAAAGTAACAAATATTTTTCTGTAATGATAAAACGACTTAATGCAGTGCTACAATACACTCAATGTAGTACAAAAGCAACTAAAGTGGAGCTTTTAATACCTGACAAATGTGTTTATTTATGAACAATAAATGCATATATTTAAACAATATTACCAGAAATTAACATCAGTAATGTATTGATTCACCTATAGCGGTTAATTGTGGCATGGCCAACATGAAAAATAGACAATCTAACAATGTATTAAAATAACTAAAACAAGTGTTGTCATCTTTAAAGGGGCCCTATTATGCTTTTTGGGGTTTTCCCTTCCTAGGGAGGGAGTTTCTCTCCCACACACCTGCCTAAGAAATTACTTCATTGGACTCCTTTGTTTACATCCGTAACATAGTGACATCACTACGTAACACTCATGCTACTATTGGCTAGCGCTCAAACACATTGTACATGATAGGCTAAGGAGCAGGACATCTCTAAGCGGTTGGCCAATCACAACAAAGCCAGTCAACTAACAAATCAGAGCAGACTGGGCTCTGGTTTCAGACAGAGGGTGAAAAGAGGTGCAGCAGCACAGGCAGCATGAGAACATTAAAGCGTGTAAACATGTGACAGTGAGAAACAGAATACAAATATGAAACCTGATCAATAAGCATCAGGGCCCCTTCTAAGGACACTGTTCAGAATATTATAAACATCTGACTTTGGTATAAATATTATGTATGCCACATAAGTTATTACATGTAAACGTTATATTTAAACGTTATTTATATAGCCAATTAAAGATGTGCCTCAGGATGGGGAAAGGGTAACCTCCGTAGTCTTACACATCCAAACTAATCCTTTGTAGTCGGTACTCATTTAAACTTGGATGTTATTGTGAAAATAAAATGAATGTATAAGATTAAACTCAAACAATGAATGGGCATGTAAGACTTCTAAAGTTGCACAATATGTTGCAAGGAATAACAAATGTTCTTCTTAACATCAGTCCAAAACAGTAACAGCATACATAAGACAGCATTAAAAAAAATACTGAAACTTGTTTTTGTAGAAAGAATCCTGATATCAAAGTTATTTATGCTCTATTTATTTCAATGTTGCACATCAGCATGAGGTTGTGTTGTGGGGCATGATGAGAGACATGCAGGGGATCAGAGAGATGAGAGTTTTCTGGGCTCCCTCTCTAAAACATATTTGCTGCCCTCCTGTGGTATCTATTTGGCACATGCAGTCTCCTCATGTTACTGAGTGAATTTAAACCACAGTGACTTTTGTATCTTTGCGGATGCTTTGCAAATGGAGCAACTCGACTCAGCATGTTATTCCAAGGTCTTTATGGTGTTTTATGTGGTCATTTACAATATGCTTATGTTCAATTAAAGTTTCAGTAGTAGCATCTGTGCAAAAGTTTGCATATGTTAAAAGTACCTCATTTGTAGGGTTTTAATGGTGAAGCATGTTTGAAGCGTTACAGACATGTACATAGATTTGTACATTAATAGTTATTTTGTTAGTTTATTTCATTAAGTTGTAAGGGCTCAGTCAAAACTAAAAACCAGCATCTTATGTGAAAGGGAAATAAATCTGTTCCAAGTAAACATGCAAATCATCCTTGTTTTTCAAGCTGTGCTCGGGAGAGCATGCAGCGTTCCTCTGAACCAGCAGGGAAGTGGTTGATTTCAACAGAATTCCTGTCATCCATGGACAACTCATCTGCATCTGCAACAGCATCTTCCTACCCAAAATATAATGACCACCAAATAGAAAAACATTTTACCGTTTCTGCTTGGTCGTAAAAGCAGGCCCATCAAATGACTTCCTTGAATGGTGATTGGATGTTAACAAAGTGCTGATCTATCCTAATAAGAAGCAATTAAATGCTCAGAAGAGAACGAAGGAACTAACCGCCAAGTAGGATCTTGTGATATACTCTATTATATTTGATCTGATATAGATGCTGAGCTACGCCTGATAACGTGAGGCTAGGATTTACAAGCGGAACCTGGAAATGTTCAATGTTCAAAAACACTTGTTAGAGAGAGGATAAATACCATGTTATTACCTCTGGCGTCACTAAGACGCAGTGTTTAAAATGTTTTGCACTGCCAGGAAATTCAATTTTTCATTCAACATTTAGGTTTCTGCAATGTGTAATTACAGCCTTATTTGTCAGGTAGCATTGCTATTCATTGTTCCTTTGAGACTGAAGTAAGAGCATCTCTTATTCATAGCAAAAAAAAAACATAACAACCTGACATAATGGTCTTATTTCTGTCACAAATGTAATTTAGTGATCAAGTCATTTGTGGTTTAAAGGTGTGAAACTTAACACCTCGCACTACAATCATACAACAACCAGTACGCCCAAACACGGATCACTAAAGTGTATTTTTCCATATTTATGTGTGTTTGTGTTTGTCTGTGGCATATTAAAATAACAGCAAAAATCCCCCTTGCTGCTTACTTCCCCTGATGTGAGTCAGGAGCACTCTGTTAACCACCGTCTAAGCAATGATGTTATTCCAAAAATACTTGTCTGAACAGTGTGCTGAAATGTTTAGACAAAACGCTTGTTAGACATTACACATGATATCACTAATGATATGCAGATGGTACAGTGCTTTGGTTTTTGCTGGCAGCGCAGCAGCTTGATCTCTACCTTAAGTTTTGACCATAAGTTTCATACCTACCTAAACATTGCAATTATAAGACATGTTCTGGAAGCATGTCAGTGGTGACTAGCATTGTGAAAGACAAAGAGTCAAATCCTTTTGAGACAACAAAAAAAAGAGTGCTTTTGTATCTACATTTTAAATTACTCGCATAGGCAATGTCATTATGTGAATTATCAGAAAAGTGTAAACAATTGTTTATTGTCACCCTTTTTCGTCTTTGTACAAGTTAAGGCATTTCATTATTGTGGTAGGAGCAAATAATTATAGACCTTGTTGTCTGAGACAGACACTGATGGAGGAGACACAGTGAAGGTAGCATGTATTTACCTGCCAGAGACCTGCAAACCTGTCTGGAACAATAGTCCTTAAGGTATTTTAAAGCTCAATATCATTTTGAACGTCACCACTGCTGCAAATCCACTAAGAAAATTGACTTGTCAGAACTTTCTTTTGTTAAAATTATTATATTATTAGCCAGTAACATGTTCATCTTTTTTGTTGCATTGTTGTTTTCTATAGAAATCAGTCCAAGGGCTTCAGTTTTCATCTTCTTTCATATGAGCCTTCTTCCCATAGTGTTAGCAGTAGCTATACGTCTATAGTCGAAGATAGGAAGACATAGTGCTTTAAGCTAATAGCTTGCTGCGTGCTAACACGCTCACATGCAAATGCTAACATGCTAATGCTTGGTGAGTGTTTTTTAGCATTTTGCTTCTTGTGCTAACTAGCCTGCCAACATTTGCTAGTTAGCACAAGAAGCAAAGTAGCTGAGGCATAAGGGAATGTACTTTTAGCATTGCAGGTATTTGGTCATAAAAATAGTTATTTACCTAATTTAAGTTCTTCCCTGATGATGGGGCTACAATGGAAAGCTAAGGGATCACCAAACTCATTGGGATTCATCCTGCAGGCTCCATTAACCTGTAGCCTACTAATTTCCATAGAAATACATATAATAGTCAATAGTTTTTGCGATATATCAGTAAATGTAAAAAGGTAAAAACCAGTTGATTATCAAAAAGTATTGGGCACAATGACTGTCTGTAAAAAAAATGAATGGCGATCTATCTGATAGTTATTGAGATATTCAAATTGGACTAAGTGAAAGATTAAGTATTTTATTA